AATGCTGGCAGTTGAGGTGTACAGCAAACAGTCTGCCTTCTAGAGAACAAAATTACTGGATCTCAGAATAGTGGAATATACATTTTATTTCTTAAAAAGGAAGGGTACTAACAGAATTTAATACAGTCAAAATTTTACATTTTAAACAAAGCTTTTCTTTTTCTTAAAAACCAGTTACGAGCAGAGAGGTGAGAGGATTTAAACTACTCACAAAATCCAAGCTGAAGACTTTGAGAATTCAAATCTGTGGTTTATACATTTAAAAAAGTGTAATAAATGGAAATATAAAATAATACCAACTCTGAAACAGTGAAATGCCCTTTTCTCATTTGATTGCTGTTTAAGCACCTTTATTTTCACCCATCAGCTGCCAGGAGTGTGTAGGTTTATGTACAAAATAAGCAGTTTGGGATAAAAGATTCATATATAAATTAAAACCATTTATGGCAATACAGTTTTACTCAGCTGCTTTATAATCTTTATTATCTCTTTCACATCTGTAGAATCTCCCAGTCAAGATAATCTCAAATGCACTTGATGGACTGCTTCAAAAAGCAGCTACATTTACAGGAATTATATAGACAACCTCAAGGAACACACATCCGAGAGATTAAACTTAACATGCAGTAAAACTAAGATCAGATATATATCTTTAAATATAAAAACTGTGCAGATTTATCACCCATCCCGTTGAATGAATGGGACAGATCAGTGTCACATCTGAAGCCAAGAAAATACTTTTATCCAAGAGACATCAGAATTTCAGGCCAAATATAGCAGATAGGAGTTCCCTCAAACTATTTAGTTAAAAACTGTATGTTTCTCAGAAAGCTTTACAGGATCAGAGTCTTCTGAATAACTTGCACATATGCTTAGCTGTTTTATAGCCATTTTAGAGCCAAGAAACACTGAGAGGGGAGGAAAAAAAAATAAAGGAGAAAATAAAAACCAAACCAGAGATGCCACCATCTCTGCCACCTGCAAAGGATGTTGTGGCTTTTGTCGTTTATGGAACACTGCAGACACAGCTGTCGCTATAGAGGAGACTGCTCCAGTACAGCATTAAAGACAAACAAGTTACATTACGGCTGGATAAAGCATCATCACAGCCTAATCTCTTTAGATGAAGGCTGATGGATCAATCTTACCTCCCCCTCAAAACCCAAGTGTCTGTATTTCCTAGCAGACTGCTCATGATTCTCACTCCACTGTTTTGGTTTTTTTTTTCCCTTTTAACACGAGATAGAAAAGGCCATGAAAGCTGATGAAAGTTTCAGCTGTGCAGCATCCAGTGAACACGTACTCAGCAAAACCTCAAGTCATTAATCACTTTCTGTTCCTCCACACCACAGCAGGATACCTGCCTCATCTATGTGCATAACAGAACTAATGAAGATGTAGACTATCTAGGTTTCAAATGCGCCTCAGTAACAGTCACTCACTGTTTCATTGCAACTTGCTGCAGTCTGGCTGAAGGGTGGAGACAGATCTGTTTGAGCCAAAAGAGAGAATAGTTTAACAAAATAAAACAAAACCAAACAACTTTAGTTTTCCTCAACCACTAATCTTCACAAATGATTTAATATCACCACTTTCCAAACACTACTCACAAACAAATCCACTGTCCAGCTAATGGGACGAGAAGAGTACAATGATGAATGTAATCAGTAACTACTGTTAAAGAAAGACTGGAAGAGAATCAATTCCCTCAAATTCTCAGTTTCTCTGCTTAAGTAGGTCATCATTATTTTCAAAACATTTTTTGTTGATAGAAAGCATCACAACTAGACTAGAATTCCACAACATCAATCTTTGTTTTGATTTTTGTAGTTCTGTAGGAAAAAAATAATCCCAAATCAAGCTACATGAAGCATTAACAATATTCAGATAGTACAATGGAAGCACTTATTTATTACTTCATAGAACAGATTAGTTTTAAAAGTGTATTTACATGTTCTAGGTTATACAAAATACAGTATTCCAATAATCATGTTAATCACCATATTTCAGACAACTTCACATGAAAGTGCAGAGGATGCATCCATCCATGATCCTGGCCAGTAGCAAGCAGTCAGCCACAGCGTGACAGATGAGAGCTGCTATTGTGCCCCCTCAGGAAAACAAATCCCAACAGACCTTCTTACCTAGACATAGCTGCAGATCTAAGAAAACATTCAGGCAGGTACACGAGAAAAGTTTGAGACCCACAGACCAAAATCACATGCCTTAATTTACTAGACATATGTGAAGTACTTTTTTTTAATACACAAGTTGCACAGCAAAGGGCTTCTGCTCATGCCTTAGTTGGGAACGTGAAGTAACAAGGGTTTTGGCTATGTAACAGGCACCCAAATTACACTTATTATCAATAGCCTTGTAACTACAACTGATCACGTGTTAAGGACACAATTCTGCAGTGGACCGCCTGGGCAGAGCTTCACATTCAAGAACAGATCCTGTGAAGTCCACATGGTTCTCTATAGATACAGGGCTCATCCCACACAGAAATGACAGCAGAATTAAGGCCTTGAAATACTGGGGCCTCAGAGAGTAATTTCCTCACAACACAGCACTATCAGTTCACATCAGCAGGTCAACCCCCAGTGCAGCAACACGGTTACTTAAAGCAACTGCTGTTTTTCCATGCCTTTCTGCAGCAACTCTCCTCCCTATCCGTATACTCCTTTCACCTTCTTCTGGACTGTGGAAGTGAGATCAAGAAAAGGAGATTCCCAAAACCTTAACAAATACCTATCTTGTGTATGATGCTAACCTGAGGGGATCCAAATTGGCCTAAAATAAACAGGGAGGCTTTAGTTTTAGCAATCTTGCTTAGATTGGACTCTTGCATTATTCTTCTCTTCCTGCTTTCATTCCTTATTCTCCTTGCCAAGTATCTATGTCTGTCTATACATGTATCCTCCTCAGAGGATTCCTTTTTCCCCGTAGCTGCTTGACTTCTAAGAAGTTTGCATTCTAGAAGTGACTAATGAGGGGATAGCATACTATCAAACTGACAAATTACATTTTGTATGACAAATATGCATTATCATGAGTTACTGTAATTTCTCAATTAGCATTTTGTTAGCATCTCCACAAATGCTAAGCCTATTCCTTCTACTTTTTCCCCAGTCTTTCACTGTGAGTTTATTTATCCTCACCATGTTACAGTGGCAGATATACAGCTCAGAGTAATTATCTGAACATCTAGAAAGCCTCTCAGTGTCCTGCAGTACTGCAAAGGCAAAAGACTAGCATTAACAAACGATTCGGTTGTTGATGGATTTAGATGTAGGCTGCCAAAATGATGAGATTGATGCATTTCTTCATCTTGTGCTTAGCAGCTAAAACCATAAGGATGAACAAAAGCCTGTGTGGATTTTAGAAAGGTCCAAGATACCTTCACTCTTAGCGAGGGCATCTAATCACAACGAACTCTCTTACGCTGAGGAGGCTTACAAGGCTGAAGCAGCAATATTCTCTTCTGTGCGAACCCATTATTTCTGCTGTCTACACAAAAATATTTTTCCACACAAGTGGTTTCATTACAATATTCCCAAAGCTGCTGGCCTTCTACCGCTCCTCTCATTCTTGAAATGAATTTTGTACAATTAGTAGCAGTCCTGCAGGTAATGCTGAAAGTGATTTTTATAGCTGGGGCACCTTGGGCTTTCCAACAGCACAGCAGGGAAATAAAGAATTGTCAGACCAGACAAAATGTTACTAGATGAACTCAGAAAGCCACATTTAACTTAAAAACCCCCAAATAATTCTTCTCCCGGTGCAAGCTTATAGTGCACTACTTTTTCACCCTGTCCATGCAGGGTGGAAAACATGAACTGAGATTATCCAAATATCAAAACCATCACTAACTGTGTAAATGAGAAAGGGATAGGAGCAGTTTACTAACATTACTTGGGCAGTCTGAGATATATCCACCTGATCCCAGCACAGAACACTTCATGACTCCAGAGCTTAAAAACACTTTACAATAACCATGCCAGAGTACAGACTTTCCTGCAGGAGTTAATGAGGTCTTTGTTACTGGTGTCAGTGGGAGCAGATCTTGGCAACTGGTGAAAGATTAAGCTCCTAGGGAATTTTTAAATACAAGCCCACATTATAAGGAAATACAACTATGTGTAGACTAGAAGACCATGCACGAAAGCAATACTGTATTAAATGTTGCGCATCGTTTATTCTAGGTCTGTTTCTTTTGCAGAGTAAGACAATGCTCATTCCCCACAAATCTCATCAACAGTTTATATTTTCAAAGTTAGTACTGTGAAATGGCCATTTGGTGTCAATCGACTTCCTAATGAATGTACAGCTTTGTCAAAAACTGCTCCCTCCCTTTACCGGCAATCCCTGCAGTGATGCTGACAGGCAGACTCCCTTTATTCTTTCCCCTTGGAGATGGTCCCTTTATGGCTGGAATGGGGGTACACTGGCATCAGGCACATTTATGGCCTCTGCAGAGCATGATCCAAGACTAGAGAACTTCAGACTCTAGCAGTGTCAATTCAGCATCTTTTAATGTTCAAATTGAGCTAAAAGAATATCAGTTGTCTTATGACCACTATGAAAATGTACACAAGTTAACGACTTAAGGATAGGATTGTCATCCTAGTCAAAGACACGAGATTATAGAGTTAATCTTTCTGAAAGGAGCAGAGAGCTCTGAAGCAGTAAGCTTAACTTCCTGAGACTGCAAAAACTGAGAAAGGAATTCAGCATTGCACATTATTTTTTGTCTGGCAATACCTATACTCCTTTAAATAGTTGCTACCTTCTCATCTATCTTTAAAGATGTTGCATCTTCACACAAAAATAAATCTCCAACTACAAAAGTTAAGCCACACTCACCCTAAAGTGCTAATTTCCAGTTTTGCAACCCAGACACACAAATCACAGAATGTGCAAATCTGCGCTACAGGGAAGCACAAGAGATTGGTAACAGTCTTCTCTGAAAGAAAGGTCTGATGAACATTCACTGTTCATTTCCATCGTGGAAGCTTTTAATACAACAGGAAGCTAATAGAATTGCACATACTAATCTCACTGACTATTTTGCTGTTAAAATAGCATGATATACTGCAAACCCAAATCCTGTATACAATATGTAAGTATTTATAAGATATCCCTAAAGGAGTAAGACAGCAAGACCCAAATGAAGGCCCAGCAACTCCTTCGCCAATTACAATACCCTTTAGCTTTGTGATTTAAACAGGAAGACATTCAAAGTTAACTGAAAATTTAGAAATGATAAAATGCAAAACAGTTGCTACATTTACATGCTGTCAGGGTCTTTTTTTTTTTTTTTTCCTTTTTTTTTCTTTTTTTAAAGTCTATGTTTTAGCGTTTATCACCAAAATAAAAACAACAACAACAAAACAGTACATATCAAAAATACCAGTCCAAATCAGCAATAGTTGATAGAGATAATATGCTGACATTTCAGCAACACGGAGCTAAACTATTCATCTATTTGAAGAGAATACCCCAAGATTATCTCAGAGCTTTAGAATCCCAAACTATATTAATACACTCGTAAGCATACTTTTGTAACCAGCAAAAAAGTTGAAAGCACTTTCTTGACTTCAGAACATGGTCCATTAAAAATAATAGCTCAATAAGTACATTTAATGTATACGCTTTTTACAAAGGTTGTATTCAGAAAACTGGTTACGAATTCTGGGGTTTGAGATATTTTTCCTTATATTTTAAATGAAGTTTACAACATCAGCTGCTGCTTTGCACTTTTTATCTCTTTCCTTTCTGCTCTGAAATTAGAGGTGGAATCTCTTGGGTAAATGCAAAGTCAAAATACCTGTTCAACATGATAGCGTTGAGCTTTGCTGGTAACAAGTTGTGCCTCCATTTCAGCACTTGTGCTTCTGAAAGCTTTCAAAATCGTTTTTCTTGAGGTGTATGCTGCTTATAAAACTCCAGACACAAATACACTCCTGTCTTACAAGCTCCATTTTGGCTACAAGCTTGGCCCTGTACTACTTGCCCAGAAATTAAGTATGCTTTTTCTTCCCACACAAATTTAGCTCCTAAGGTTCCTTAACATAAGAGTACATTCTTGTTATGCTGATGATACTCATATAAAGGAACTTCCACCTACTTCTTCCATCTTCTGCACACAGTGAACATCCCCGCAATCTGTCCAAGCTTTCATCTACTCTCCCACACCAGCACTAGGGTCTTGATACTTAAGCTGCCCATTGTAACTGTGGAAAATCATTGGCTGTTTCAGTTTCATAAAAGAGATGAACAAAGTACTCTTCCACCACTGCAGTTCTCATGTAGTCAAGAGACAGAAAATTGTAATATGGCACCAAATAGCCATCGTTTTGCTGGAGCTAATACTCAATTGGTAGTTGCAGACTGCCAAAAGACACAGGCATCAGCAGCTCAGACTAGCACCTTTCCTGTGATTGCTGAATCGCTAACAGGAGAATAGATCTGGTTTCAGCAAGATACCATAGAAGTAAGTGAGGTTGATGAAAGAAACAAAGGGAAAAGCAGGTTAACAGCAGTGGAGCAGAAAAGCAACTGAAGCGTTTTACTATTACGTGGGCAACAGAGGTTTATTACCACTCTTTGTATGGCACACTGCGATGCTTTCTGGATTGTTTCAGTACATCTGCTGTACTTTTCTGCACTGGAAGTCTCACACATCACAAACTGCTGCTTTAATTCTGCACTCACAGTACTCCACAAGATGCTACACTGTACTAGAAGTGAGCTGCAGTATTAAATAAAATTCATTCTACTGCAGGGGAAAGAGTCTTAAAGTATAGCAGTTCTTAATATATACAGACACTCTCATTTAAAGCTCCCTATTTTCTTCCACTTCAAGTGCCAAAGAGTCTCTGTTCACACAGGCTGTCAACAAACCTTGAGACATGAACTTTGAGTGTCTTGACAAAACCCCAGTAAGTAAGCTTATTGTAGCTCATAGTTACAGTGAGAAAGACAGATAAGAAAGCCATTTACAGAATTAAGGAGACTTTGCACTTTTCATCATGCCCAGCCCTGGGTAGTTCAGATGGGGTACTTGCAGGCAAGCAGGCAGGCAGGGTCATCGTCAGTTGTTTTGAGTTGGGACACCTCATAGATTTCACTGCTCACTCTGAAGACTGGCGACTCATGTGTGCTTTTTAGTTTCTTTGTTTTTAAAAGTCTTTAAAGTTGCATCACTCGGAATCAGATAAGTCACTTTAAACAAAGCAAAGCGTTAAGTGTGACAATTTATTTATAACATACTTCCCACCATCACCACCACACACCACCCTGTGAAAGAAAAACCCCTGCTGAAAGGGTGACAATTTTTAGTATGCTTGAAAGAAATTAGACCAACACTGCATCAAGAGCCACTCTAATCAAATTAAGAGCATAACAGAGGGGGAGATAGGTCAAAGCATACGTTTACTTTAAGCATTTTATATTAGCCTGCTTCTCCACTTCCTTAAAAGGTCAACACACAATTGGTCTACACTCATACCAATTTCCACATCATGTTTAAAAGACAAGCTAGGCAAGTCTTTAGTATAGAAACTCCAATGCTTTTTTAATATACTTTTCAGATTTCAATGGGGAACTGCAAACTAGCCTAAACATCATCTATCCCACATTCAGTCCCTAACGTAAGTATTTGCCCAGGGAAGTATAGCTTGAGAGTTCTGACAAGGCCACTATCTTTAGATAGCTTCTCTTGTTAAGAGGACTTCTAGGCAAATACTTCTGTTAAAAGCTTCTGGTTCTTGCAGTTGTAGGTCACGAAGAAGGTCCCAACATCACACAACTTATTTTTTCTTTTAACACCATACAGTGTTGAAGAAGTGCTTGATGCTGAGAATGGATTACTTCCAAGAGGGCAAGTCTTGTGTGCTAATTTTGTAACAGAAAGCGTGCTGGAAAGAGAACCAGCAGGCATGGAAAGGCCAGATATGCTGCTACACAGGGGACAGAGGTAAAACGTTCATGTTTAGAGTGGGTGTTGTTTGTTCGATAGACTGTTCACAAGACAAAGGACCAAAACTCTTTTCTCAAGCTCTTGTACAAGTAAGGTACAGTAAAGTGAAAGTGGCTTGATTGCTTCTTAAAAAAAACCCAAATCAACTTCTTTCAAAGCATAATGTACTGACAATTCCTTAACAGATGGGACTCAAGGTTCAGCCTAATACTCCAGACCTCTTTTTCTAAATCTTCCTTACTTCTCAGCTAAGTGTAACATGTTGCTTTATCAGCAGTTAAAGAGGGAAGTCCCTCTAAAGAACATATAGGAGGGGTGGTTGCAGAAATTCTGAACCCCACAGAAAATTTTTTTGTCCATATCTGTCCCTACTGTTCTCTCTCCTTGATTTCTGGAAGCTATCCAGGATTAGAACCTACCAAGATGCTTGAGCAGTATTTTAATCAACACCACACTGCCTTTGGTGCAACTAACACTGTGCATTAACCTTGAGATACCTCAATTTCTACAAGAGTGTATTTTCCTGTCTTACTGTCTTAAACATTCCCCTATTCCTCTTCAACAGGAACAGAGCTCTATATAACAAGTACTTTCTAGTGCCTCTGAATGGGAGGGGAAACAATTTCATGATGCTGCCCAGCAACATCTACTTACATCTTAAAATTATGTTTTACAATTTGACTGGGAAGGGTGGGCAGGGAGAAAAGAGTAGTTAAAAGAAAAAGGCAAGAAGAGTCTCCTAAGCTCTTCCTCCACATGAAATGGAGATTAGAACAGATAGCAAAAGCCCTCTCCAGTCAGAAGGGATCCACATCTATTCCTTCAGACAGGTGAATCTGTTCCATTGTATGACATCAGAAAATGCTCTATCAGTGTTAAAAACAAAGTTGCAAATATGGACACTAAGATTTTGGGCACCACAATGATCAGGAAAGGGCCTGAACACGTTGCGCCAACAGAAACAGGGTTTGATGGTGTATTTTTTCTTTTGTGTAGATGCAAAATAGCAAAGCCTCCACGAACTTTATTTTTGGAAGTCTCTACAGAAAGCAGAGAAGTCTAAGAGGCTAAACCAAGGAGCCCTGACAAGGAAAAGGGGTGTGCTTACAAGGGTCCGTATCTGGTCTCGTATTTAGAAACAATGTTCTTGCATCGTCCCACTTCCTTGCGCAGCTCCGCAACCTCCGTCCTCAGGGCTGTGTTCTCTTTCTCAAGAAAGGCTGCCCGAATCGTGATCTGATTCTCCTTTAACCGCCGAGCGTCACGGGAGCGCTTTGCTGCCACGTTGTTCTTCTTTCGCCTTGTCCAGTACTTCTCATCCTGTAGCAAAGAAAGGAGAGGGAAAAAGGAAAAGAAAAAAGGAGCCAAGCTGACAACTCTATGAAGCAAATGCCTCTTTACTGTATAAGGACATTCACCCTGACTGCTGTATTGAAGAACCTCCGTCACTGGTTTGCAGGGATCTGACACCAAAATGCAGGCAACAGTAGTGTAAGGTTTCATCCTTCCACAAGTCTCATTGTAGCATAAACCAAGTGCACTGCTAGAACGAGGCAGATTAAGATACTTGGCTACTAAGAAGCAGTCCAACTGAACTGCTCCCTTTACTTATTTTCAATTCAGGAACGAATTTTCACAGGAAACAACTTGTTCTGTTGCCTGGGCTATTTAAAGCCAGATCAGACCGAATGCTGGGCAAATACATACAATGGCCTTTGAAAGTGCAGTTATTGAGGATGTGACTTGATAGTTCTTCTAATTTCCGTGTATATCATATGTTGCTCCTGCCCAGTAATTATCTCATGATACCAAACCAGCAAGAACAGCAGCTGACTTGCCAATTCTATTCTTCATGGTACTTCTGCCCAATCACATAGGTGTAAGTGCATTAGCTTTATACGTCAGAATGTGTGGACAAAGAATCAGGAACTTTGATCAAGGCCTAGAGAAGTTTACAGCAATCAATCTGTTACCTTTTGCTCATCTGGGACAAAAACCTTCTTGGCTTTTTTAATCATTGGTTGTGGTTTCAGGTCCTCTTCAGTAAACTTGTGTTTGCGAGGATTGAAGAGCTCACCACCAGGCACACTGGACAGCACTAAATCAGCAGGGTCAGGATTAAAATTCACCTCAACTTCTACGCAGTCAGGATCAATGGGGCTGGGAGTATTTCTCTCATTTTGTGGTGGGGACTCTGGCAACAACAGGAGAAGTTACAATACATTCATCAAGATGAAGAGAATTAACTATGAAGCCAACTTGGGTATCTATTTATTGCCCTACTGTGAGCAGTATTTAACAGCATTACTTGGTATTTCCTGAAGGTGTGTTTGGTGCTGTACCACTGCTGGCACAGAGAAAAGCTACACAGTCCAGTTTGTAACACAAACTCTAGGAACATATGCCAGACTAACAGACATGAGCAGACAGATGCAGGACAAGAGTTAATACTTCCTTGGCAAAAACTACATGCTTTGCACACTTAAGCAGCACCTTCCACAGCAGGAGGAAGTACAAAACTTGTACCAGCCCAAGTTTTGTACCACAGAAAGCCTTACAGAAACAAGCCTGCCCAATGATCTCCATCCCTGGGACGCTCAAAGGTCAGACAATTTATTTCCAAACAAATGACTAAATAAAGGTGGGTTTGTTACAAACGCAATAGTGTTCTACTTTACCACATGGAGAGAAATGTTCCAACAAGTTGTCTGACACTGATAGTGTTCATATGAACTTTGTAATATTTATCTCTTCTTTACAAACTTCATACACGTGAACTGCAAATATCAGTCCATTTTGAAGCAGTGATCAACAAGTAAGTTTTTCCATATACCACCTAGAAAAAAGGCACACCCTGTGCCTTACTGAAGGAGTCCCACACTGACCTTTCTCTTGCAGATTATTCAAAGAGGCCCTGAGCAAAAGGTATTCTGTAAAGTCTGCTCATAAAATAGCACTGTCGAAGCTCAGTGGCTATCATGTTTAAACTCCAAATCCAGGGCAAAATGTGCTGCTGAGTTCCTTAATAGAGAAGATCTCCATATTGCAAATGAGGAGTAGAAGTTTCCTAGTACCATTTAAGAACAGTTTTGTTTCTTTATTCCTCAGTTCCTACTTCAAAGCACTAGGGAACATCAGACTGCATCATTAACACCTTTTCAAGCGTCTCTTCTCACACTTCACAGGCTAGCGTGAAAAACTGCTTCACTGTTTTTCTGTTAAGCATTATTATTTGAAGTACATTAAGTTAGTTCACCAAAGAAGCAGAACAAATCACCAAGGCAGCCCAAACGACTTGGCAAAAACTATCAAATCTCTTGTAAAATAACCCGAGAAACTATTTTCTCAACATGTCTAACTTCTCCCTACACCAGCAATACCAAGCAAGCAAATACTTTGTGTTGGTGGTTCAGCTCTTCGGATTTAAAGAGAGAGACAAACTGCACACTGAGACACTCAAGTCATTTTTTTCAGGAAAGGGAAAGGGGAAGAAGAGGACAGGCAGCATCTTCACAAACTGACACACAGACGAAGGCTCTACATTGAGCATGTTTGTACTAATTAACCTGCCACAGCTACCCCTGACAGGTTAGCACGTCTCCTCTTTGATCTAAAGAGGCACCTTTTAACAGAAGAACAACAAAAGTCCCTCACAACCCCGTATTATCCCATCTACCTGTGCTGGAGGCTGCTTCAGACTGCTGGTAAACTGCAGTGGAAGAGGATGATGCAGGAGAACCAGTGGAAGCACTGGCAGACTCCTTTCCTTCCAGCTCAGCCACAGGCAAGAGTGGATTCTGGTTCAAATCCAGGTGAGTAGGGCTGGAAGGAATTCCATTCTCCAGCAGGAACTCATCCAGATCCATGTACTCCAGGTGGAAAGACTCGCCATCGTAAGGAATAGTTTTGTCCCAAATGGGCGGCATAAGGGAAGCTGAGACTGCCATAGTGCTGGCAGCTGCTGCCTCATCTTCCTCAAGCTTTATCTTCTCCTTCTCTTTATCTGAAAGATACAAGTAGGTCACTGTACAAGCTGCAACACAGGAGAGACTCACGGTTTAAGAGCCTGACAAAATCCCCATGAAAGCAAATTCAGTAAGCTATAGTTCTGCCTCATGACATGATCTGAAAAATCAGATGTCGAAGGCAACGTTCATATGTAACTCAGTATGGAATGCTCTGACTCCCTGCGATGGCTGGACCACAGGCATTTCAGTATCCTTGAAGACCAGCATCCTTGCTGTGGTAACTTACTGAAGTTTGATACAATACTGCATCTAGCTTATTAACTAGTCACTGCAAAATTGCCTGTTTTTCACAGGCTCATCTTGGAAGACATTACAAGGGAATGTCCATAATTAGGATTACATGGGAAGCCACTAAGAAAGCTCCAAGGAAGCAGAAGTAGTTTATTCTATGCACAAAGAATGTGCAGAAGAATAATCTAAACACAAACAAGAAAAGAAGATGGGTTTCAGATTAGGTTTGAAAATTAGTCAAAAGGACCACAGGACACCAGAGACCTGGATGTCTACTGTTCAGTAGTTTAGAAGCACTTCTTTCTGAAATGACTCAGCATGTCCACACAAAGCAATAGCTCCAAATGCTGTTCACTACAGATAGCTCAGAGTACCTACATACAATTTCCACTCTTTGGGGAGATGTCTAATAAGGCATACTCCCACACCCCACCCCCAAGCCACGAAAGGCTGATGAGATTTTCTCCATTTACCGTGCTACAGTGCACATATTACAGGAAAATGGCTGTTTCTATGTTCCTCATAGCTACTGAATCTTAACAATTGTCTGGGACAGAATCCAAGCAGAAAACTCAAGTTATGGAATAATTACATAATTTAAGAGACAAAAATAAGCTGGCAGGAAAAAAAAAAATCCAAGTAATTTTCCTGATCCAGTTCTCCATGTAGCCATGCAGTTCTACCAGGGCTGAAGAAGGCATTGCAGAACCAGTACCAGCACTGTTGTTTAAAGGAATGCTCACAATCCTTCCCCAACCAACTGCAAATTGGTTTGCTACCACGGAAGCTGACAAATATTCGGTTCAACAGAACAAAGACTTCAGGGACATACACTGGACTAGTTCAGATCTAACTGGGTCCAGTATCCACACAGGTCAACCCAACAAAACGCACAAATCTTTGGCATTAGTTTTCTAGACTGGCTAAAATATGCTAAAGGAGTATTTTTCTTTATCGGGGGTGGGAGTGGGGGTGAAACTCTGCTCTAAATCAGAAAAGTCTATTTATATAAAACCTATTCCAATAGAACTGGCATTCCTTCCGCTGTTGCCTTGGCTGGTGTGGGACTGAGACTGAAAGAGCTTTTTATGGCTTAAAGAACAGTGCTGCCATACAAAGTAAATTATCATTTTAATCTACCGTACCCTGAACATCTCATACAAAAGATACTAATTTTATACTAAACAATGGGGACAACATTAACCAGTCATCAACTTGGACTAAGAGCACATGTTAAATTCAGACCCGCGGCTCCTGAACCTGAGCTTTGTTAACATCTTGCAGCTTTTGGCCTTCCTCTTTGCCACTCCACACTGCTGCCTCTGAACTGCCATCTTCCAACCCCCATCCCTGCTATAAACTCCTTTTTGCAGGGAGTGCTGCAAATTTCCTACCCTTTGCTTAGGCAAAGCAAAAGTAGAGGTTAACAGTCATGACCCAAATAACCTGAATGTTTCTAAACAGCTCCTGCTTGAAGCTAGGAGAGAAAGAGCATCCACTCTACTTCACATACATGAATGATTTTGGTTACAATTGAAACACATCCCACCAAATTAGAACCACCATTTCACATCTGACTTCCGAATCAGGGATGGTGTATTTTCCCCAAGGTTTGCACAGTGCCCAGCACAATCGAACCCAGACTGGCACTGGGAATTGTGGGTGATATCCTAGCAAAGACATCACCACAACAAATGCAAGTAACCACAATGAATTCTTGACAGATCACTATTTTTTAATCAACAAGATGAAAACTGTGAATGGTGCATCAAAATCTTGAATTAAAAAAATGTTTTTATTCTTGGAAAAAAAAATAGTATTCCATTTTAAGTTATGCCAAGTTTAATGCAAGCCAGCAATGCTTTTGTTTTGCAACATCTAATACAACACCTCCAGAAGGAAAAAAGAAACCTTAAGTGATTAACAGAATAAACATGAAGCTTAAAAATACCTGTCAGAAGGCAGTGCCAAAAAGACTATACTACTGGTGTATGTGGACCTTCTCATATCTTTTAACGCCTTTTAGATGCACACCATCATCCTCCTGTACTATGGTCCCTCCAGCTTCCTCTTGCTATTCTCCCTGGCTCACACCCAATTAAACCCTTCATTCACATGAGAAGAACATCTGAATTTTTCTGTCCTTTTGCTGTAAGTTGAAAACTGACAAGCACTGGGCTGCCAGTGTTGTCTCTGCTTCACCGTGTGCGTCCCTCTCTCCCTCCTCACTTCTAATAGCTAGTATCTGAAACAAATTAAAATAGCAGAAGTTAACGTGCACATGTTAAGAAGTTAACAAGTCCATGGGACCTGATGAAATCCATCTGCAGGTCCTGAAGGAGATGGCAAACGAAGATGCTAAGCCATGGTCCCACCATATTTGGACTTGTGCAAAGTGTTTGACACTGTCCCACACGACATCCTTGTCTCTAAATTGGAGAGACATCAATCTGATGGATGGACCACTCGGTGGATAAAGAACTGGCTGGATGGCCGCACACAAAGGGTTGTGGTCAATGGCTCAATGTCCAGCTGGAGACCAGTAACGAGTGGTGTCCCTCAGGGATCGGTGTTGAGACCGGTCTTGTTTAGCATCTTTGTCGCTGACATGGACAGTGGGATTGAGTGCGCCCTCAGCAAGTTTGCTGATGACACCAAGCTGTGTGGTTCGGTTGATACGCTGGAGGGAAGGAATGCCATCCAGAGGGACCTTGACATGCTTGTGAGGTGGGTTGATGCCAACCTCATGAAGTTTAACCATGCCAAGTGCAAGGTCCTACACCTGGGTTGGAGCAATCCCAGACACAGCTACAGGCTGGGCAGAGAAGAGATTCAGAGCAGCCCTGCGGAGAAGGACTTGGGGGTGCTGGTGATGAGAAAATGAACATGAGCCGGCTGCAGTGTGCGTTTGCAGCCCAGAAAGCCAACCGTATCCTGGGCTGCATCAAAAGGAGCATGACCAGCAGGTCGAAGGAGGTGATCCTGCCCCTCTACTCTGCTCTCGTGAGACCTCACTTGGAGTATTGTGTGCAGTTCTGGTGTCCTCAGCATAAAAAGGACATGGATCTGTTGGAGCAAGTCCAGAGGAGGGCCACGAGGATGATCAGGGGACTGGAGCACCTCCCATATGAAGATAGGCTGAGAAAGTTTGGTCTGTTCAGCCTGGAGAAGAGAAGGCTGCGTGGAGACCTCATAGCAGCCTTCCAGTATCTGAAGGGGGCCTATAGGGATGCTGGGGAGGGACTCCTCATTAGGTACTGTAGTGACAGGACAAGGGGTAACAGGTTAAAACTTAAACAGGGGAAGTTTAGAGTGGATATAAGGAAGAAGTTCTTTCCTGTTAGGGTGGTGAGGCACTGGAATGGGCTGCCCAAGGAAGCTGTGAATGCTCAGTCCCTGGTGGTGTTCAAGGCCAGGTTGGACAGAGCCTTGGGTGACATGGTTTAGTGTGAGGTGTCCCTGCCCATGGCAGGGGGGTTGGAACTTGATGATCTTAAGGTCCTTTCCAACCCTAACTATTCTATGATTCCATATTGGGTGCCCGTGTATTTCAAATGTGATACATAAGATAAAACCTTTGTATGATCATTTTTGCACTGACATTTTCCCACTGGCTTCCTTTCAATTCATTTAATCTTTATTTCTGCAGCACAACATCCTGCTGGGTGCGCAATATCTAATGAAACACTAATTAACCTCTTTCATTTTGAGGGGGAAGTTTCCATCCACCCCAGCTCAGGGACCTGAAACATTAATTCTCTTAAGATATTTATAGTGTAAACAGGTATTACCTGACAGCAGAGCTGCAGTATCCTAAGAGGCTCCATTTGCAGTGATTCAAGGTCACCCTGATAAATCTGGCCTGTACTTTTGCAGCTGATAGCTGGATGTCTGATTTAGCCCCCTCATTCTGCTCCTGTGACCTATTAGCTGGGCTGTACATACGCTGTTAATAGAGAGGTCACTAGTTTATGCTAAGTAATTTAGGCAGAGCATTCCAGTTCTTGTACTGTTAGAAATATTGCTGTTTAAGCCAAAAGCAGCAGCCTGTAAAAAGCTTTAGTCCATTCCCTGGTTTTTCCTTAAAAAAAAAAAAAGGAACAAAAAAACAAACAAAAAAACTCAGCCAACCAACCCCAGACCAAAAGACATTTTGGCCACAACTGTCAAATGCTATCCCAGCCACAAACAGAACAAACACTTCTTTGACGAAGTTCCCCTCGCTCGTCAAAAAACATTGTCAAATTGTACTGAGCACACTAGATAGACTAAGGCTGACTGCTCCAGAGATCTTCAGTCCCACTGGTGACAATGCAACAAGACAGGTCATAGGGTTCTGTATTCCTGATGTCCATTACTGTAATGCTTGTTGAGGCATTTCTCCGGCCACAGCAGCACGCAACTGGTGATTAAAACATCCTTTGGAGAGTATGCAGCAGCTCATTATTACTAGGAGAGACCTATGCTTCTGCTCTAGAATACTAATTCTCTTCCTTTACCCCACAGGGCTTTTTTTATTAAGAGATTATTTTATTTAACCCCTACAATGCATGTGACAACAACTTACTGCGAGGCCGGTCCGACATACTTGGTACGTTGCAGGGCATTTCAAGATGATGGCGTTCAGCTGGAACTGGATGTCCTCCTCTGTTGCTTAGAAGGATTAGAAAGCCTACTTGCTTACTGGGTAGTCAAATTACCTACAGCAGTTGGAAAACCCACAGGTAGCTCGTGGAGACTATAA